CAGATACATATATCAGGCCCATTTTCCCGCCAGGCGACCGCTCGAGAAACGAATGAATAAATTCGATAAAGTATATGTCACAAATTCGGCGGGATTTTATCGAGAAAATATACAGATGATGGAATTTTTATTAGGAGTGTATACATAGGATGAGTTTGCATGACAAATGGAAAGATTGTCCGCTTATGGTAGATATTGGTTCTTATGTAGATCTTTTTTTTTTTTTTTTTTAATATTCTTTTCGATGATTTCGAGCTGATATATGTTCCTGACTTCCAAAGATACAAGCGAAGGGTGCTGTCGCTCCGTAAGGCGCCGCATTTGTAAGCAGCGCGAATTTCGATCGGAAAGCATTTCGCTTCTTTCTGGTTCTTTTGTAGTTTCTTTTCGGTTTTCTCCTCTTTTTTTTTTCCCATTTTTATTGTATCGATCAATGCGGTTGAAATCGCGGAGATGCATCGTGCGATGTTCTTTTTTGATATAATTTTATTAAGCTATCATTAATATCATCGTTACTGTTATTGTTAACGCAGATGATATTATTGGCGATAACAGTTACAATCAGTAATAATAATGAGTATAATAATTAAAATAGGTGTAGATGATAATCAATAATAGTAACAGTAACGATGTTGCTATTAATATATAATAATTATGTTACGAATAATATTATATCGTTATCCTTTCTTTGGAGACATTTTAATGAGTGAGAGAATGCGTCAAGACGTGAGGTAAAATGACGCCGTGGAAGAGGAAAGCAGAAACGTGTGCGTCACATTGGAAAAGAAAAAAAAAAAAATGTGTACATTATTCCTACTTTCATCGCGAAACTGTGGGGTTTCGATCGGGCAGACACAGTATCGCGCGACAGGTATATTGCTCTCGTTATCTGTAAAGGAATAGAGTTTGATTAGCGCCGTTTGATTTGGTCTTCTTAGCCTCCCCTCCCCCCCCCTACCCTCCCCCACCAATTTCCTCCCCCTCCCTTCGTATCACACTCCGTACTCTTGTAAAATATTTATATGTGTATATATTATTTATATATATATACATACAAACGCACGATACATTGCGTGTATATACATATACATACATATATATGTTAAAGGAGACCGAGATGCATACACACACACACGCAATCTTAATTACAATTATATCATATATTATTGCATTATTAATAATTATTACATTGATGATTATTGCGCGATAATTATTTTCCTATATTCGTACGGGACGTATTGTGTACTACCCAATTCTCTGGATATAAAAACACGGGCGATTTCGCCGCCGCTAGAGCACTCTGTCAGTCACGATTGTGCCAAAAAGAAGGGACGAAATGTTCGACTCGAAAAACGCGTTTTCGCGTCGTCGGTCGATTTTGGAGCCTCGCAAACTGATTTACTTATTCCTCGCACACTCTCATCGCCAAAGTCCTCCAAATATAGGAAAGTAAATGAGTTCCCTTGATCGGCTCCTCATCGATGCTGATATTTGTAGCGAAACAACTCGATTTCAGATTTGGTTTCTGTTTACGAAACACCTCTTGCCATTAATCCGTAAATACTTGTGACAAATAATATAATGAATATTTATATTAGCAAATATTTATATAATTAATTAAATCGTTAAATATATTTAAATTTACTGTGTTGTTAAATTTATTACAAATTTAGCTGATTTTAATATTTAATTATATAATGCTGTAATTAAATATGTATTTTTCTTACATAACAATTATATTAATTCAACAATTTGAATTTTATCATTGTATTTGACAAAAAAATTTCAACTTAGGTATTCGAAACACAATTTGAAACCTTGTGTAATGAGGGCGCAAATCGACGACGCGGTAGTGGTTACAACGCGATTTCGCGAACAGATGACAGACGGGCGGACAGGCGGATAGGGTGGTTTGGCGGCAGCGTATCTCAAAGTTGGCGAAGCAATCGAATACTGGTTGGTACCTAGCAATGCACAACTAATCCGACTAATTGCGTTGACTGTGCGTTTCATAACGACGACAACGTTTCATGCGACAGGACACGTGGACGAATTCCGTGTACGACGACGGCGAGGGTAGAAGCAAAGAGAAATCTTCTCCATCCCCTTTACGATTTATCATTTATCGTTCGCACGGCTCGCTGTGAGACTTCCAACGCATGCCTGTCACTGATCGCTATTTGAAACGAACGAGAGTCAATTTCGTTGTACAGTTCTTCCCCTCCCTCCCCTTTTTTGCGACTTCGAGCGAATCTACCCTCCCTTCGTGCGACATGGAGTTTCGTCGAGCCGAGGAAGCAATATACAGCGACAGACAGCCGTCTCTAATTGGCATCATGACCATGAGATATACACGTGCTGAGATATATATATATATATATATATATACATACATACATATATATATATATATATATATACACATACACACATATACATACACACACCACATTGACTAATTACACGTTCACTGGACATACTTAACGAATCGTTTAGTGACAGGCAGACAGACAAGTGAAAGATAGCCGGAAGGATAGGTAGGAGTAAGTAGACAGGATTAATTAGAGGATTGAGATAAGAGGAGAGGAGTCGGGGGACATGTGAATGAACAAACCGCACCAAGGAGAGACCAAATTATATCGCTTAATGAGATATAATCACCTATTTGCTTCGTATTTATTTTATTTGTTAATTAATTATCATATTTATTGGCGCGGAGGCTGACGTATGCATAATTTCCGGGAGACATGCTCTGATTACACAAAAACAGACACATCTACACGCGCGACACACGTAGAGACACACGCAAAATGTGCCCGGCCGAATCACTACTCAGATTGTCTGAGAATTGCGAAAATTGTTACAAGTCTTTCTATTGTTATCTGAAGAAGCTTTAACATCTATTTCCGTCGAACAAAGCAATTGTTATCTAAAAAAGCTTTGAATGTTTAATTGTTATTGAGCGATAACAAGGAAAGAACGATTGAAGAGATCGATTGACTCGTGTGCGTGAACCATTTCAAACAAATCTCTCTTTTTCTATGCAGTAAAGTTTGATCGCAGCGAAAAAAAATTGCGAATACGTTGTGAGAGCAACGCGTCAGAATTTAATACCGATGTTGATCGTTAAAGTTTGAAGAAACGCAATGCAATTTGAATGCCGTAGCGATCGAACTTCACCCACGTGTAACTTTGGAATTTTATACTGAAAAATGTGTCACGTTGATCATTGTGCGATTAATAACATATGTAATTACGTTCGATAACACGAATCTGAAAACGACATCCTCGATCAACGTCCTCGGCCGTGCGCATTGACCACCGTGGCAATATACAACTTCCTCGTTAATTACGTATTATTTAACCTCATCGTTGGTACACACAAACACAACATTTTCGACATGGCGACGAAGGAAGGAAGTACAAAATTTACACATAGCGGACACACGAAGTGACTTGTAACACTCCTTCGACGAATGTATCTCGTAAACGTTCCAGATGCCTCACCTTGTATATCAAGTAATCAATATATAAACGCAGAACTTTAATAGTTACACTATTCCATCCCCTTTTATTACTCACGTTGCCAAAAAAAAAAAAAGGAAAAAAAAAGAAAAGAAAAACTCCGTGCTGAAAATCGACACTGTGAATTAAAAAAAAGAGAAAGGAAAGGACGATCGCGTCGAGAGTGGTGAGTCGTTCTTCGTTCTAACGTACTCTTTCTTTCTTCTTTTTCACTTTTCTTTCGAGAGATCTCGCCAATTTCAATTTCTTCGCTCGATTCGCAACGCGAGCCGAGGCCCTCCTCGATTCCGCGCTTTTAATTTTGCTCCGTGTGCGTCTGATCGGCTAATGTCTTTTGTCACTTTGCGCGGATCTCGTTTTCCTTTCCGCTCTGTGAAACCGCGTACGTTTCCACGACGAGAATCGGCACAGCCTTTGACTCTTACACCATACGCGAGAGAGGACGACAAAATAATGATAAAACTTATCACGTGAGACAACGGCGACAGGGGAGATAAAACGTGGGAAGAGAAAGACCCGTGACAATATATACATATACATATATATATCTATATATTTGCGAGATATTTTGTGAAACAGGGCTTTTTTACCTATTTTATAGTAATCTCAGCTTAAACGGATTGAGAGTGTGG